CGGGAATATTCCACCCGCATCAAGATCATCCAGCGAAGCTGGAAAGTGGCCAACAACAAGGTCCGCGGCAAGCAAGGGTTTGCAAGGTAGGGTCGGTATAAGGGTTTTGAGGCGTGTGCACAGTGTTTAGGGTTTGCCAAACAAACACGCAACACCCTCTAGTTCCGATGTCAACTGTCTTTAGCCCTGTACTCTCTGTTTAGCAGGACCATGGTTTTGGGTTTTCAAGCGCTGTTGTCTGAAGGAAGCCAGAGCTGGTAGGAGCAAAAGGCGATGTGGATTGTTTTGAACTTGAGAAATTCCTATGCAGGGACAAGCATTCCTGGCTGGCCGACACCTGCAGACGCTAAAAAGCCAGTTCCGTCAACGCTGCAATCAAAGAAGAGCATCCCTTCTTTTTCTTGACTCGCGAGCCGAAACGCTGTTATGGTTGCTGCCTGAGATACCCTTGTCCCTGCCCTAACTCTGAACTACCGGATAACTACCGTCATCCTATAGCCTCTAAAGCTCGGGAACCCCTTGACCAGAAACGCCCTCAAACACTCCCTCAACCAAAAACCCCAAACTATGCAGCCAAGGTCAGCGAAGAGGAACAGGCGGAGGCTGATGCCTCCGCCGCTGCTGTGACAACCACAGCAGACAACGAATCAGGCCGGAGCTTGCTATTATGGTTTAGGGTTTAGGGATGTTTAGTGTGTAGGGTTTGGGCTTCGGGGTTTGGAGTTCTGCGGTTTGGAGTTTAGGGTTCCGGGTTAGGGGTCTAGGTTGAGGGTTAGAATTGAAATCTCAGAGCTTGGCGCTCAGTAGTATTTGCGGGTTTAGGTTTCGGGGCTTGAATTTTGGGTCCCGTTTTTTTTGTTTGGGTTTAGGGTTTGCAGTGAAAGGGTTTAGAGTTTTAGGCTGGGGGTTTTGCAGTTTCGGGTTTGGGGTTTCGGGATGTTTTTGGCGTTTCGGGGTTTGTGGTATGGGCAATTAAATTATCGGTACGGTCATATAATGTATAGCATACTAGGTATGTAGTATGTACATCATCAAAGACACTCCCCAGATTATGTTCCCATGCTGGGGCCCCATGGTTTCAGCCTTAGATCCCTCCTTGGCCAGATCTGCTGCAGAAGTCCATTGAGGAGAAGTCGCAGCGAGCCGGCTCTAAGGAGACAAAATCTGGTGAAGGCTCTGGCTCTGAAGCTTTTTTCGCGGAGCTATAGGGCTGATAGTGTGTTTGACGAGGTTATTAGCACAGGATGGGGACATGTCTTACGCTGTTTGGGTTTTAGCTGCACGTGGAGTGTGCGGAAGTCTAGCCATTCCGGTATGCGTTGTATGGGGAGTGGTGCTGGATTTTTCTTCCCAGAGTAGGGATCGCGATGCGGCTGTACGGGGAACGTAGGGTGCTTGGATGTAGACTCTTCTTCCTAAGCATCTAGTATGCTTGGTACTAGGGGGACGTCATTTGAGAGACATCCATCTGACATACTGCTCATTTGAGAAACATGCATCTGACATACTGGCCGAAACAAGTAGCACTGGTTCCAGCAGGGTTCGTATGTCACCTACCTGGCACCAGAGTCCTGTTCGCGCCATCACCAGCATTCCTTTTCGTTGTCGTGCAGAACTTGCCTAGGCGCACTAGTGGCGCTGCATGACTTTCAATTCATCAGTTCTACGCATATTTCCTTGACCACATCTTACACACGACGTTTCGCCTAGATCTTGCGCTGGTTTCGGGGCATTAGCATATGCGATGTACATAGGCTTCTCAGAAGTGCGGTCTGAAACGGCTTGCAGGCCTTCATTCATCCCAAGCCTGCATACACCTAACATCCCAAATAGTGAAAAGTGAGTTTTGTTGCAGGTCACGAGCTGATGAAGTAATTCACCACTGCGATCAAAAGCCAGCGAAAGCTAAACCGTGACCCCAACTCACAACTTTTCGAACTTCCCGAGCCCTAAGCCCCAAACCGCAAACTCTAGACCCTAAACCCTGGTCCGCAAACCCTCGTCTTTCTTGCCTCAGGCCCTCCTGGGCGACGAGACTCCAAGTCAGAGGTGACAAGTACCGTGAAGACCACGGCCACGGAGCTCAAGGTAAGTAAGGGCTTACGGGGTTTAGCGCTCAAGGTTTCGGGCGTGCGAGGGACTAGGGTTTAAGTACGGCTCAGGGCCTAGGACTTGTGGTCTGCTTTGGAGTTTAGGATCATAGGCTTCTAGGGCCTAGGGTTTTGGGCTGAGGTACTGGGACAGATTCTACCTATGCCAGGGAGTTATTATCATGCATTCCAGCATTTCATGATGACCAGATGCTCCCACGCGCAGCATGGCACCATGCACATATGCGTTTGTCGTAGGTCTGCTTCGCATGCAGGCAGCTTGCTGAGCAAATCCCTTGGACTCCATGTTGCCGGCGTGAAGCTGCGAGGGCTTGAAGCATCTCGCTGAAGCCGTTATCTAGGAAATCCATTCACAGATGGCGCCGCTGCTGCCCCGGGCTGCATTCACATTGGCTGTGGCCATCTTCCTGCAGAGAGTGCGGGCCATCCGCCGGACAGATGACAGCGGAGAGCTGGAGGGTGATGATGAGTTTCATGTCGGGGATCAGGTAGAGGATTTGGAAGCAATTGTTGGGTCCCTTTTGGCTCAGTTGCTTCTGGTGAAAGGAGTCAGGGTCCACTGAAAGCAGACATGTCCATGGCCAGGTGGTGATCACCGCAGGCAAGTACAAGTCTTGCTCGGGGGAGGTGCTTGCGGTCCAGGAGGGCAGAGAAAAGGTCAAGGTGCGACGATCCTGCACGAATGGCCTTGGGAGTGGCAAGGCTCCTGGCTCTTCATTATGGTGCACGTTTTCTTGTAAAGCCGATCGCCAGAACCCCTTCTCACCCAACGATTGCTCTAGCCCTGTCTCCTGTGGCCGAGGAATACAGCGACGTGTTGCAACCTCTTATGTTAGTTCGTGGAACAGAGTCGAACATGTTCACAAGAAGTTCATGAAGTCGGGGCTACCAACGTCATGGGTCCCTTCGGGCGGTTTTGCAGTAAGGATCCGGGTGAAACGGTAAACCCCTTAACCCTACATCCTAAGCCCTAAGCCCCAAGTCACCCAAAAACCATTCAGCAAGGATTGGTGGTACTCCTTTGGGCAGGTGCGGCCTTTGGAGGTCGAAGAATCTGTGGAGGAGGAAACCAAGGAGCTAGAAAATGAGTTGCTCGGTGGCGGTTTTGGTGGATTCTATTGATAAGGGAATCCCATTGAAACCTTAATATACACCCCTCAATACAACCATCCTGTATTATCGGGACTTCCAAAAGCTGCCTCTCACTTTTTTAAACCACCATTTGGATGATTAATTTCATTCCCAGATTATGACACGCCCGCACCCAAAGTCATATTTTCTCCCCACCATGGTGTTGTAGCTCATTGTTTCATCGCGGAACCGATGCAATCTAGAAGATAGAAGAACTGTGAGTACTTTTCCATAAAGCATATACTTCTTACATAAGCATGATGAACTTTTTCTACTCATCTAGGTGCGCATTTGCACATTTTGGGGGCCCTTAAAGTACAACTCAGGCTGGGACAGGAGGCTACACCCAGGGATCTTGGCACCTTCGAGGTCCTCAAGGACCCATCTGACAGCCATGGAAAACCGACAAAAACCTGAGCCCTAGACCCTAAGCCCGAAAACATAAACCCAAACCTCTAGTTGTTGGGGAAGGCTTTCACGGCTTTAAAAAGTCTCAAGCTCCATCGGAGTGCTACGTAAGCCCCAGGGGTGCAACCTCCTTCTATCCCCTGTATATTCCTAGGGTCCCCAAAGTCTTGAAGCCCCTCTTGAGGTAACGATGTCTTTGACTAAGAGATAAACTATGGCCCAGGATCGGCCATTTCAGAAGAGCCACCCTCTTTGCAGCTTCTTGCTGGCTGTTCGGAGGTAATGGAGGAAGGGATCTCCATATTTCAAAGACTTTGAGTTTGTACCCTCAATGTTTGTAACCCTAGGTTTTGGGTCCCAAATACCCTTGTGAAGGGCCATTTTCAATCCATATTCCATGGTTTAGGGGCCCAAGCCCAGCGGTACAAACCGCAAGGGTACAAAGGAAAACTTCCTGAATATTAGCCCCCTTCTCAATCCACTGTCATTTCTTTGCTTCCATTCCTTTTTTCATTCCCTAAGCTCTGAACCCTAGGGGTGGTTTCCATTTTCTTCTCGTTGCTAACAACCCGCAAGGCTTGTACACAGATCTGCCTCCCATCAACCCACTTGCCTCGCCTCCTCGGCTGGCTGGCCGCGCAGTTGTCCGCCGTGGGCAGAGGTAGGGCCAGGGGCATTGGATTTTTTAAGGTTCGGGTTGTGGAGAATAATATACCTGAAGCTTGACGAGAGTTGTGTGCGGGCCAAGAAATGCTATGAAGCTCATGCCTAGGTGCTTTATGTTCTTCCTATAGTGTGGCATAGCAAGCCAAAAGTGTAATATTAGGAGTATGCGCGTCATATGCCTAATTTTCCAGGCTGCTGCATAAGGAGTTTCAGAATCATGCTTCCCCGTTGTGAAGCGCTCCCCAGTCCCTGACATCAATGCTTCGCTTTGGTAGCCCTTATGTATTGGGCTGGCATATTCGCTTTTATGCGTCCATTCAGGGGTGTCTTTCTCAAGCGTATTTGTTGTACTCTTCAAGGACACACTTTGTTCTGATTTTTAGACGCTCTGAGGTTCGTTGTGAAAACTTCAAAGGATGTGGATGCAGACTCGGTGGTCATGGTCTTCTTGGCCTCCAAGCCCGGGGTGGAGAACGACGCTGTCATCGGAAAGCCGGGTACAGTACGGGTGCCAAAATTAGAGTGGAAGTCCCGGACGATGCCCCTGTCGGCGAGTACGAGCTACGGCTCGTGCATGGTGCTCAGCACACTGCTGCCCTGGGCTTCATCGTAATTTGTAATCCGTTTACATGCAAAAGGTGTCCTGAGTCTGCGGGACGAAGCCGCAAGCAGAGGCAAGAGTTCATGCGTGAGTATGTGGGCGGAGAAGAGGGGCTGTTGTGGCAGGGGCTCTCAGATGACTATGGGGCGCATGTATGGCAGCATGATCCATTCCGAGCTGCCAACCTGCTCATCGCAATCTCCCTGCTGGCTGATCTTCCACTCCACCTGCGCTCGGACCCAACGGCAATCTCCAGACACTTAACATATGTCATTGGTGAACGAGTGTGCTATGGGAGCCCTGGCATGATATTTCTGCTTCCTTGTTTTTTTTGCTAGAAGGAAGTGATGCGCCAAAGCTCCATTGCAGCGAGTACCTTTTTTTGGACCATACTTCAGCTGGTAGTAAGGAAGTGGGGTGAGGGCAACTATGTCACTGGACAGCCCTCCAATGGTTATCGTTGCCGCACAAAAAGGTACCTGCAAAGGAAGGGCACTTGGCTCAGTCGGGACCATTCCCCTTAGGACCAGGCTTGATAGATTGCGTGGCAGGCTAGCGGCTAGATGTTCTGGGCGGGAGTGCTCCTTTCGGGACTGTTCGCATGAGGATGCATGAGGTTGCAACGGCTAAGGCAGGGCACATGAGTGGGCTCAGCGCTGTTCTGATCCCTCCACGTGGACATCATCTTCACCTCTCCTGGAGCAGCACTGGGGCCTTGTGCAGTCTGGGTCTAAGGCAACAGCAGTGCAGTACTGCCAGTGCTTTGTCTTCTCTGGGGTAACTACTACAATTGGAAGGGCGCTTGGCATTGCAACGCGGTCCGTCACAAATTTCCAGTCCGCCCATGACACCAACGCAGACCGCGGCATATCAAAGTTTTTCTTTGCTTCTGCAGATGGAGCTTGGAGCCCAGCAGATTACCCAGAAGACCTGTGCCCTAACTGGTGCACTTCCCCAGGCCCTGCAGCCCAGAGAGGCTGTCAACTCTCCGCTTGTAAGCGCCAGCTGTCCACGGGGCGTGGCTTCGCAGGGATATGTGCGCCGTGCATGCCCTGCATGCCATGCAGCAGCAACACGGACAGCGTTTGGTCCTTCCATGTCTGGAATGAGATGTTTTTTGACAGGAACGGCACGGGTGCAGATGGCTGGCAGGCGGTGGATGCCACGCCCCAGGAAGAATCCGCTGGGCGTTTCCAGATGGGTCCTGCTTCTGTCAATCAGGTGAAGCAAGGCGCCAGCGATTGCTATGATACGGACTTCGTCATCGGGGAAGTCAACGGAGATGTCAAGCTCTTTGTCTACAGTGTTCCCGACTTCAGCGAGGACTTACTGGGCATTAGTAGGTAGTGGAGTAGTGAAGGAGTGGATCGCTACAGTAGCCCCTAGATTACCGGCAAGAAAACAGCTGTTTCCAGGTGCCTTTCCACTTTCTTTGTTCCTTACTCGCAACCAGCAAGAGGATGCAAAAGATGAGGCAGCTGCAAAAGGTACCTTCGTTCTGCATGATGGAGACCCACTGTATGCCGGAATCCGGTGGTACCATGAGACTCAGTTTCAACTCAGTTATCAGTAGTCAGTTAGCTAGCGATTTGGTTAGTTTGTTTGTTTGCCAGTTTGTTAGCCAGTTTGTTAGTTAGTCGTTGCTGGCTGATTAGCTAGTCAGTCAGTTAGTTAGTTGATTACTTTTCTCCCTCTTCACGTAATCACTTTTTTTTCAAAGCCTCTGAGTCAAGGATCCCTTTGGGGATGTCTTCAACGCCATTGGCTTCAAGGCTGTAAGCAAAAAGCCAGGTCCCATCTCTGCAGACTGCCGGAAGGACTACATGCGGTGTCGGGACGAGGAGAGCGCATGCCATCAACAATGACAGTAGTCTAAATGCTGTCACAGACTGAGCCAAGTGAAGTGATAGGCTTAGCAAGATGGCAAAAACAATGCCTTCGTCATGCTTATCGGCACTATCATTGTGGGTCTTGCGGTATTGGCCATGGCCGACAGATACCAGCGGTATGTAAGGTACGGTAGTTGAACGGTTTTGAGCCTAAATTCAGGGGCTTTGGAGGGTATCACGGTTCTGGATAGAGGGTGTTCTTTTTTCTTTCTGGGTGCTTCTCAGTGCTGGGCGCCTGCCCCGAAACCTCGGCAACCTTCACCAGCGTGCATGTCTGCTTACTGTTACGTGTTTGCCAGCACCTGAACCCTATACCGCTACACCCCTAAACCTCAAAGCCAGCAACCGTGAACTCCTGAGCCGTCAAAACCTACCTTGAACCCTAACTGCAGAAGGAGTTGGACCTGACTGGCTTCTATAAAAAATGCCCGGACCCCCACAACCGGGCTGCCGACTGCCAGGCACGCGGAAGGGAATGTTTTGATGTAGGGCTCAAAGATTGGGGCGTTCAAGGAGCAGTAGGCTTGGCTTTAGGGCGCAGGGTTTAGGAATCAAGGGAAGGGGTCGGTTTTTTTATCATGTTTTTTCCCCGCGTGATGTGCCCGCTCATACACCTCCGAAAGTGAGATTTACACAAGAGAGCCCATTCATGACTGTGAGAAACCCACAGAATGGATGATAAAAAGGTTGCATAAGGGTTACATAAATGCAATATTGATTTAGGGCATGGCGTGCAATAATATTTCGTGTTGAAACATCAAGGGTGATATAAGGATTATCTACGCAGCGTGGGCCCTGCCGAATATGGACTGTAGGAATGTTTTGTATAATCCAAATGCTGCAAGCCTTGAATCCCAAACCCCAAAAGCTCCAGCAAACTCGCGCAAAACCTAGGCCCAACGTTTGCTTCCGCATCCTGCGCCGCCTTAGATGCCTGTTTCGCAGGCTACCCCTCCAAGGCCCCCATTGTGATCCCTTTCACAGATTATTGTTTCCAGCCCTCAAGTTGACGTTTCCGAGACTCCATGGCATGTTTGGGTCCGAAACCTTAGACCCTTCAACCCTGAGCCCTTAATTAATTACCCTAAGCCTTCAACTTTAAAGCCCCAAATCCTGAAACCTTAAGCCTTGTACTCTAAACCCCGATCGAACGCGTCAATTTTGAACCTTAAACCCTAAACACCAAATCCTTGATAAACCCTAAATTGCAGGCGGTGGAGGGTTCTGTTGTGGCACATCTCCAGTGTCAGTACAGGGTGCTGGGGTTGAGCAAGGGCCGTGCACCAGTGCATCTCCGGGAACTGTCTGCAAGAGAAAAGGTCCGACAAAAAAACCCTAAGCTGGAAACATTAAAACACCAATCCTAAAACCCCAGGCACTAAATTTCAAGCTCTAAACATCTCAATCCGAGAATTTCCAATCCGACACTCGGGACCCCAGTCCTGAAACCTCAAACCCTAACCTTCAGAGGGCCAATCCTAAAACTTTCATGCCCAACTTGACACTTCCAATCCCAAAGCATTCAACCTCAAACTCTAAACTTCCAATCCTGAAGCCCTAAGCCCTAAACTCTAAAATTCAACGCCCCGCCTTCGAAAATGTCCAGGCCGGTCCTGCACAGGCAAAAGCACACTGCCTCGAACCCGGAGCCAGCTCTTTCATGGATACTCGCTATGGGTCCAGTTTTGAATTTAGGCTTTTGGGTTTTGGGGTTCGGAGCTTAGGGTTTAAGATTTATCGTGCAGAGTTTATGTGGGAGCTTCCAAAAAAATCCCACCATATGCACAACTAAATGCTATAATCCTTAGAGGGACGCTCCGGGGTGAATTGCTAAACCCCCATGAGGAATTCGGGTATCCCGATTGTACAATCATATCACTTGCGCAGACATCCAAGGAAGGCAACATGACCATGATGTCCCGGGATGATGCTATTCGGTTTAATGCATTAGTTTCTTTTATGCTCTGGTTGGCATATTTGGCATGCATTTAACGCCGTTTTGTTTTTCAGCATTTGCGCGCACAAAAGGTGATAAGATTGCCACATAAATGTCACGGCTCAGGCAATGGGGCGGTCAGAGGGAAGGCTCTTGCACGAGCTGTCGCGGGTTCAGGACGCACACAGGGTTCTTTTTTTTTGGGCTGTGTTTGCACAGTTTTTGAAGTTTCGTTTCGATGTGGTTTCGAAGCACTTTCAGCACGCATGTTTGAAATTGTTGGGGCACAGCGAAAGTGCTTTCGGTGCCATCAGGATGGTGGTGATTCTAGAGAAGGTTTGGATTTGTTTGTTTTGAGTGTGTGTTTTACCTGTTAAGTGTCAACGCATGCCCATCGGGTTTCAATAGACAACAGTGTCCAATGCTGCTTAGAAAGGTAGAACCAAAGAGGATGTGGAAGTCAACTTCAGCAGCTTCCTCCCTGTCGGTAGCATTGTGATCGAGAAGGAGTTGCCCTTGAAGGCGTGATCTGGAAGTTCAGCTCCGTAACTGGATCTCGTCATCGTCATCATCATCATCATCATCATCATAATCATCATCAGCACGACCATCATCACCATCACTATCACTAGGGCCAGCAAACCCATCATTCTCATCATGCTGCTTGTGCTTTGTTAATCCCTGGAAAAAAGCCACTGCAGAAGTCGTGGGGCATCCAACCTGATCTGACTATGAAGCTTGCAAGGTCTCCTTCCACAATCTTGGGAGCGAGACGCGGACCATCCGATTGCTCGTCACGGCCACTGGATGCGACTACCGAGGCCGGCCAGTGGTGCACATTCAGACCCGTCGCAAGAAGTATGCCATGCAGCTTCCGCTGGATGGCTCTGAAACCCAGATTCTTCGTCAGCTGAAGTTGGGACCGGGAGAAGAGTATGTGTTCCAGCACACGGTCCATGCGGCAAATCTCGATGCCGATATGCTGAGTAGCTTGGAGGTAAATGCGGCTGAGGGCACCTTCTTCCTTCAGTTTCACATCAATGCCTACGTGGTTGAGACAGGTCAGCGGTTTGCTCATGAGCCGCGGAGGCGCTTGGTAGAGGAGCAGAGCTGAGTGCGAGGCACGGCGACCTGCACAAAAGGATGCGCAAAGCGTGAGAGGACGATGGAGGGACCCTCTCAAATGATGGTACGGCATGTTTCTTTTTGTGAGCAACTTCTATCTCGGGTGCTTGAGTGACATGATCTGCAGCAAGCCGTTCTAAGTGCCAACGGCATGAGTAGACTAGACGCCACCAAAGCAGACGCATCGTGCTTACGACATTTCTGAACACATGACCCTTAAACCTAGTGTGTTTAGTGCAAGCATGTTTCCGCAGGTGCCGACAACATTCAATGAGATGTTCCTGTTCAATGCTGCGGTTATGGGCTTCGGCCAAAGCGCCTGGTTGCAAAGTTAAGTGTGGTGCGGCTCAATGGGATTGAGGTGTTCAAGCCTCAAGCCTGCAACTCTGAATCCCAATCCCTGAGCCACAAAATCTAAAAGCTGAAGCTCAGAGCCCTGTAAACTTTACACCCAACCCCGTAGGGCCAAAACGCTAATCCCAAATCCCCAAATCCCAAGCCCTCTTCAGAAGGGTTGAGAATTGGATAGCCGAGGCACCTGGATGCACCTTGTGCTTGATCAGCTCGGAGCTTAGAGAATGTCAGGGCTTCTCCTAAGGAAACAATGCAGGTTCGGGGTTTGGGGTTTAGGGTTTTGGACGTTTCGGGGCTTAGGGCATTGGGTTTGGGGTGGAGGGGTTGGGGTTCAGGGAGTCCATGGTGCGCGGTTTATCAGTTGGTCAGCTGGGTGAAGGATTTAGGGTTGAGGAGCTGGGATCAGGGGTTTAGGGCTTAGGGCTTGTAGTTCGGAATCAGGGATTGGCGTTTGGATGTCGGATTCCTGGTTGAGGGTAAGGGGCCACCAGTTTAGCTTGAGGAGTCCAGGTATAAGATTCAAGGTTGACCGAGAGCATTCACGTATCATAGAGTCCCTGCTTTCATGCCCACGGTGGCAAGATAGCATGTAAGAATGCTCAGGGCAGTAGTAGAGGGTGCACAGATGTCCTAAGCACTGTCGGAAACATACAAGCAGCCTACGGTCATATTTCGGGTCACGGGGTTTGGGGGCTTAAAAAGAACACAGCAGAGTCCGAAGAGGTCCCAGTAGTTCTGCATGATGATGCAAAATTAAGTCATTTTCCTTCGAATGGACGTCACCTTTTCTCGATTTGTGTCGGCCCCTACATTGCTTGGTCAGCCAGGGAAAAGGGCATGTTGGCGGGTGATGTGCGTGTGTGTGCAAACTCTAAATTTTGCGGACTGAGCCAAGGTTTGATGACATCGTCAGCAATGTGGCCGCCGCCCCAGAGTTGTAATGGTGTTTTTGATACGCCATGCCCAAGATCCCAACTTCTTTCTCCTAACTTCCTCTTCTAGCCCCTGCCAGGTTTCCTCTTCGGAAGCCTTCGCCTTAAGTATCCCCAACGCACGCACGCTAATGAAGGGGGAACCCTGGCGCTGTGGTATAGGCGGGGGGCCCCACGATAGAGACTCCTATCAATCCTAAGAGATGAGGAGGCGAGTCCGCTCTTTGGCAGGTCTCAGTGCATGTTGCCGAACAAGATGTCTTCTGGTTGCTCAGGGGCACGTCAGGTGCAAAATTGATCCGAGCTTCTGACGCCAGACTTGGTCAACCTAAGTTGGGTGCGCGCTAGATTAGGCTCTCTAGGCTAGATACCATCCCAAAACAACGAAACCACGGGACCTAATGGGCCCCCAATGAGGGACCAACACCTTGCAAAGTTCCCGTTTCGCAGATGATTTGCTGAGGTGATTTGTTGAAGGGTCTGGGTTTGGGTCTGTGATATGGCCTAGGGGGGCGGGGTGTGCTGGAAATGCCCATCGCTGACTGGCTATACCCTCTGTGATGGCATGGTTGGTGGGCCAGGGTTGCAGGATCCCACAAAAGAGTTTTTTACTGGGTAAGAATCCCAGTTAATAGGGTCGCTAAACTGTAGCATCCTCGAGAAAATGCCCCCCATGTTTTGGCATGCTACAGCGGCTTTGAGGGCAGAGAGATAGATCTTGGGGGCGCCGGAGTCGTGTTCTGGTGCGATGCAACCACTTTGAGGAACCTACTCAAATTTCCCGGCGCCCAGGCGAACTCCTACCGCCTCCAAGAGGAGTGCGATGTGCTATCGCTGGTACTTGCCCAGTGACTTGGAGGAAACGCAAATCCAACTTCTGGGCCTCCTTGTATGAGGATCCCCATGCAGGGTCTCCCAAATTCTTATGAGGCACCCGCGCGTTGGAAGCCAGCTTCACAGTGCAGTGAGTCTGGGCACTGGGGTTGATGTTAAATCCTGACGCCCTAAACCTATAACCCACTAGGCAACCCCATTCTTCTCATAATAGCAATAGTGACAAATATTGCAACAAATTCAATTCTGCAGGCCGCTCCGCAGCGATGGTTTTGGTCTGACAGCTTAGGAGCAACCATCCTGGCAGCTTAGACCCCAACCATGCGCGTGTTGTTTTTGGGGAGTTTTCTCAAACACCAGAGCCCTATCTCTGGCAGGATGTTTATTGTAAGGATCGCCCCTCCAAAAGAAGGGTACTACGTTTCAGCTTACGCTTCCTATGGTATTTGAAGCCTGGAGGGGGACCGCCACCCAAAACCCCAAGGAGCAAATCCTAAACGTGAACCCGCCGCAAGGCTATAGCCTAAAATTGATCATATATTCCAAGTCTTACACACCCTTTCTGCATCCAGGCACCCTGGCTCCATCCGCTTGTCAGAGAGCCCTGGCAAAATAGGGACCAAAGATGCGCAAGATTTGTTTGGGTTCAGGGTATTGGGTTTGAGGTTCAGCCATCATAGTTGCTTTTTCTGAACGGGGGTGATTACAAGCCCTTCATTTGGAGTAATGGTGGTTGTGCAGCTGCCCCCTAGTTTCCACAAGGTCATCGGCCATGGAGAAATGTTTTCTTCTGGTTTTTTGCGGGGGGAGGGGGGGGGGCTGCGGGGGGTGGGGGTGATAGGGCTTGTCATCTTAACTACTTTTCTCCATGAGTTGTAAGATAATCATCCATTGGTTCTGGGTCTCCCTGATTTTTGCACGGTGACTAAGCAAAAGCCTTCTCCCCATTTGCATGGACCATGTGCAACATACTCAGTTGCCCGCTCAAGGTTCAAAGCCGTGATGCTTGCATCACTGCGGTCTCTTGTGCCCAAGGATGGGTTTTGGGTTTGGGGTGTGTTTTCCCTTGTAGATTAGAATTGCAAGGGTGTCATACTTGGAGGTGTGCATGACTTAGTGACTTAGTGGTCAGTACCTATTGTTGCGGGTCCGTGTCTGCAGGTCTTATTCAGTTTTGAGTGTCGGACCCTTACCACAATTCCAGCCTGCGATTCGCAAGGAACCCCTTTCAATATTCCCTGTGTGAAGCACTGGAGTACACAACAGATACAACCAAACGGATGTTTGCTGGTATGCCCCACTAAAAGAGAGCGAAAAGCTTTGGATTTTCTGCAGTGTCTATGCGGACTATAAGGCCTGTGGTTTTGTTGCATAATGATTGCATCAGCATGCTTTCTGGCGCGAAGCTGCTCTGTTGGCCGCAGTCTCTAAGCTCAAGCACGACTCTGCTGCACACTGCATTGCAGCCCCCGCCCAAAAACAAAGAACCGGCGTCAGCACATATTATATATATATTATATAGATGGATATACGTACATATCTATATATATATATACACTACACCTCTCCATATAGACATCTACATACACATGATACAACATGCTGCGGTTCTCTGGGAATTCAGGGCTCGCATGTAACATGTAAGTGCTATACAGACATGCAGTGTCGCAGGAGTGGGATTCCAACCACGAGGCAGGCTCATGCCAGCAACGTCACCTTTGGTTTACTGTTTGTGTTGCCGACTTGTGGCCTATGTTGGGGATGAACAGGTCCGCGCACAGAGGTATTCTCCTGGGAGTTGGAGTGTGCTTGGAGAATCTTTTCACAAAGGATTAGCATAGCAGTGAGCTATGAGTGTTCCTGCATCAGACTCTTTTTGTGCGCAGTTAGGGTCGAATAATTAGCAGGAAAGGGCTATGGGACAAGTTGGTGCCTATAAGGGATTTTTCTCAGGCTTCTGACCGCATAAGGTTGTCAGAAAAGGTCTGGGGAATGTCTGATGTAGTTGTAGCCCAGCCTGACTTCTGTGCATTTAGAATTTAGTCTCACTCTAAGTGTCTTATTGTCTGGATGAGATAGTGGTTAGTGCTGTATCAAGACAGGATGCAACAGCAGCCTCTTGTTTTTTTGCAAGTCATTTCTAAGCGAGAGCGGTTTCAAGCGCAAATAAGGAGGGTCCAAATAAGAGCAAATGTCTATACCGTGATATCATAGCCGAGTAGGCATCCCGACACATTTCCTCACTCTTAAGAAGCGTAGAATCGAACATAGACATGACAATCGACGATCATTGCAACAAATTGTGAGAGCCCCGAACCTTGCAGAAATTCATAAGATTTTATTCAGCATGAAGTCGGCGAAGGTGGCTTGGAACTGGCTTTGGGAGAACGTTGAGCGAATGCTCCGATCCCACATGGGCAAGCCGCAGGCAAGCTTTGGACACACTTCAGAACTAAGGGTCAGCGTTCAGGATTTATTGGGGAGATTGGAAATGGGTACAAGGGACATTCCGCGAGGCAGGGCCCAAAGCCTACCTAGAGACCCAGGGTACTCTAGGCCACTACGCTTACACTCTCCTTTAAGAGACGTTAGAGTCTTCTAGCCTAGAAGGGAAGTCTGGAGCTTCAAGCCTCAATTCCCACATCCGTAAGGTAACAACAAGCCTTGACCATAAGTCTAAGATCTTCAGCCAGAAGCCCAGAACTACAAACCTGCAACCAAATCTCCAACCTGAACCTCAAACCCAAAATCCTCACAGCGTTAACCTTACACCTGCAGTCCTACGCTCTTCATTTAAAGATGGTTAGTCGGGAATAAGCTTATCTAACCCCTATATAGCCCCTATGTACTATGTTCCCTTTTTCCCTGCTAACCCCCAGTAAGTAAATCTTAGATGCCCTAAGCTGGATGCCTCGCGCTCACTCAGCTCGCAGGCTCACGAGGAAGCCCTGGGTCGATTCATCCTCAGCCTGCCACTGGACAGTTCCCTAGAGGCTTAGGGTTTAAGGATTCAAGTTTTGGATTTTCGAGTAAGGCTTACTGTTTAAGGTTAAGGGTCGGGGTATTGGCTTCCGGCTTAGGTGCCAAGGTCAGGCATTGAGGGTTGTCGGTCTGGCACACAGGCTGGCTTAGGGTTGAAGGTTTGTTTTAGGGTGCATGGTTTAAGATTCAAGGTCCAGGGTTGAGGATCTAGGGCATAGGGTTTAAGATTTTGGGCTGAGGGTTCCGAATCTACGGGGTTTAGGCCACTGCGTCGTGAAACACACAAGGATGCCGCTTTCGAGGTCTTCACATCTGGAATCAGAGCATTTGGAAAACTGCCTTTGGGGACCCTGGATTTTCCGTCACCTTCTGCTTTCTGGAGACTTCTAATGTAGCAGTACTCCAAGCCTTTACAGGTTTACAGGAGCACCCGCCAAAATGAAAATGTCAAATTCCCTCGACCTACAAGCCCATATCCCAACCCCAAAGCCCTCCAAAACAATGAACCCCACCCCCTGAACCCAGGTCCGAGTCCTCCATCCTCTTCCTGCGTCAGGAGCTGTATCGGCAGTTCCTCAGACTGGTAGTTATGGAAGCTTCATCCCAGTTTTTCCTGGCTTGGGGCTGTTGAAGCCGATGTCCTGTGGCATCCGCAGCCGTTCGCTACTGTTCACGGGATCTGCAGAACTATGCCGTTGGCCATCTTCGCGCGATAGCACAGCACCAGGGGACGTTGTTTAAGCCTTCTGCAGTTTTTATGCCAGCATGCCTCTGGGAATTTTTGCTCCGGTTCTTGTTTCGGACACGTATTCAACATAACCTTGTCGCATTGGTGTTGGTGCAGCTGAGGCAGACATTTTGCTGACAATCAATCAAAGCTGTGTGCCATTTTAGCTAGGACAGAACCGGAAACACTCAATAACAGACATGGTGCTATGCGTGCAAAATTCCCGTCCACAATGCTGTTCGATAATGTGCGATCTGGATTAGTGTGGGCCCCCCAAACAAAAAAGGGAACCTTCATAGGAAAAGTCCACAACGAATTGGGGCGGTCTGGGGGATCCTATGTATGGCTCCCATGAAAATCAATAAGGGAAGGGAGATGCTTCAGCTTCGGTTTCTATTGAATACTTAAGGAATGGCGCAGTTTAGCTTTGAAGACACTAGGAGGAACTTGGCCTCTAAAACCTGTTAAAATCAATTGCAATCTCATTGAGATATTTGAAAATTTGTTTTAAACTCAGTTCAAATTTAATGAGTAGGTACCTATTGAGATCTATCTTAAATGCAATTAGGCTTTTCAACGTCTAGCTAGCAAGGATTAGTCAATGAAGCTCAACTAGAAATCCATTAACATATAGTAAAGACAGATTAACATGGGACATGTCCTTCTTCAGGGTATCTGCATAACATCTCACCTGTCCAGATTCAAATGCGGACGCTGTTGGTGCTGGGGTTGTTCCCAGTGCGCAGGAACTTGCTTGCTGCTAGTCATACATAACGTACCCTTCCCTAACAAACATGGAGCCCAAATTATGATTGACCTTCCACTAAACAGAAGCTTTCGTAGGGCTATCTGTGCTATTCTAATTGAACCACATAGATCCTTTGCCCCATAACTCTCATGCGAAGCCGCTTGGGATTTCAGACCCCAGGTTCTTTGCAGTGGCTCCAGCAGGGCAGGACTATTTCAAACAGTCCACCACAAGGCTGTACTTCATTGCCGACAAGAGCCCCGGCTTGAATCATTGTCATTTGATCATCAATTATGTAAGTAGAATGCGACAGTCAACAGCAGGTCGAGGTTTCATTCCAGGATGATTCCTTGGTGATCCTTTACCCAATTTTGCCTCCATGGTAGTGCCTTGGTGGCTATGACGATGGTGACAGATTGTGATCCGGCGAACGATGACGATGGTTGTACTTAGACGGCTTCTATTGCGATACTTGGCTTTTGTCAGTCCCTGAGGATCATTGAGATGACGATCGAAATTTTCAGGTCCCCCCGGCAGATGGCCCCCTGGCAGAACACTGCTTGCGATTTTGAAGCCTCACTTGCAGCGTGAGCATTTTCAATGATGAGAGCCTCTCCATGTTACTCCGCCTGACATCAACCGATTTGCAGCAGGGCACATGTGAACTTGCCGAGAATTACGACTCATGCTGTGTGGACTGCCGTAGCCCAATCACCGCTGGGTTGTTTTATCGATTTTCTCTGCAGTCAGAAGAAGCCGCCCTTGTTTAGAGGAACAACTGTTCTATCCGCACCGCAAGGCGTAGTTGGTGCTTCGTTTGTGAGCTGGCTGAGGTTGTTGACATATCGGCGTTGGGCCTTCGATGCTTGGCTTGACCACATGAACTCCTGACATGATGTTGGACCATTTTAACTTGCTTTTGTGATTGCCCTCTAGAACTTCGGCGCATTGCAACCTTTGAGTTGGCTTTTCCACACTTGCCGGGGAGCTAGCAATTTTAGGCTCTGGTACATCTTAGTGGCTAAAGAAGTCAGCTTCAAAATCTTCCACAATGCTTATACACGTCTAGATATACATGCATACATGCAGACATACACACATACATACATACATACATACATACATACATACATACACACATACATGCACACACTCGTACGCATATGCACACACACGCGCGCATGCACACATACACACATACCGACAGACATACATGCATACATACATATACACATACACATACGTATTCATATACATATACATATATATCTACACACGTATACATATACATATACATATACACATACATATACACATACATATACATATACATCTACATATACATATGCACTGTACATATGGATGCATACATACATACATACATACATACATGCATACACACATACATGCATACATACATACATACATACATACATACATACACATATGCATATACATATACATATACATACACATACATACATACATACCTACCTACATACCTACATACCTACATACATACATACATACATACATACATGCATACACACATACATGCATACATACATACATACATACATACAGACAGACATACATACACATATGCATATACATATACATATACATATACATATACATACATACCTACCTACCTA